ATCCTAGAACCTTTTTACGACTTCCTGGGAAGTTAAAATGGCTTATGAGTTTCTCAAATTGCTGCTGGGCTGTGCACAACTGATCTTTCAGGGTGTAACTCATGTTATTTGCTGCACTGGAACCACTGCTTTTCCGTCTAGGCGGTGGGATGGAGATAACACTCCAGAAAGAGTAGGTTAGAATCTTTCTAGTGTGATGTTTATATTTATGTGGTGGTTTATATAACCACATCGCAATGAAATTCATTAAGGAATATATAAAATGAAGAACTTCTGTTTTTGAGCTTTAGTGCAGTAGTAGTCTTTCTCAATGACATACATGCATTTGTTTGTGTAGATTGGGATGGCGTGAGAAACCTTGTTTCGGCATTGCCTAAGTCACTAAAAAGAATTGTTCTCGTTTCATCTATTGGCGTCACAAAGTTCAATGAGTTGCCGTGGAGGTAATATGCCTCTTATATTCAGAGTTCTTCAAGATTAGCTTTGAATGCTACTTTTTGTGGAATTCAAATCCACCGACTTCTAGGGCTTTGATATATTGGCGTATGTGTGCACCACAAAGAAAATGAGAAGGTGGTGAACTGAGTTTTCATCATGAGAAGGAATGATGAAGAATGGGAGAACTTATCGATGTCAAGCTAGACATACACCTTTCAGAAACATGCGTTTAATCATTTCTCTAATATGAGCGTCAAAAGTGACTGTGTTTGTTCCTTGAGAAGCAAAATGAGACCAAAGATACATAATTTTCTCCATCCTTAAGAATGAAGTAGTTTTTTGTTCTTTTACTCTCTCGTAATGTTGTTATCAACTTTTGTTTTGTAGCATCATGAACCTTTTTGGTGTTCTAAAGTATAAGAAGATGGGGGAGGATTTTGTTCGCAATTCTGGTCTTCCGTTCACCATAATCAGGTAATCGAACTATTTGTGTGTTTAACTGACTGCATGTTAATCGTGTTAAAAGAATTTTTACACTATCAGGAAGGATACCTACAAGTAGTTGTCTATAATACACATCATATGACTCGAAAACATACGTCTTTGGCTTATTCATCGGTTTGAAATTACAGAGCTGGTAGATTAACAGACGGACCATACACATCATATGATTTGAACACACTGTTACAAGCTACAGCTGGTGAACGGCGTGCAGTTCTGATAGGTCAAGGTATCTATCTTTCAGTTCTCATTATGTACTGAGCTGAGGGAAATACTTTTTACGTGTCTATTTACAATCCCATATTTAAACAAGTTCACTAATGACTCTCTTTGTTGTCGTTTTTCATGATAATCAGAGCTTTCTTTAGTCAATTTTCTTAAAACATCAATAGGTTCTTCTAAGCACTTCGAACCTTTAAGATTCATTCTATGTGAGGATAGTCTTGTAATCTATGTGAAAGTAATCTTGAATTTTTCCTCCGTCTCGAGACATATTCTTTTTGTTCTTTTACGACATTTATTTGGTTTTGCACACTTCTAGGGGATAAACTTGTTGGAGAAGTTAGTAGGCTTGTTGTTGCAGAAGCTTGCATACAAGCACTGGACATAGATTTCACAGAAGGACAAACTTATGAAGTAAACTCTATTCCGGTAATTATCTTGATCTAGTACCTATATTTCTCACTTATAGCCTTCTTTGATAAATATACGATATTATCTGCAAATAGCTTTGAATTTTTTAATGAACGAGACGGAGTTAATCTGAAATTCAAAGTAATGACGAGGAACATAGTTTGAGCTTGGGACTTCCATGTTGGAGGTCTCAAGTTCGAAACCCCTTGCCAATGAAAGCAAGGGGTTTGACTTCTGGGTAGAGCTCGGTCGCACCAGGCTTGCCTAGTGCTGGTTACCTCTCCTATGTGGTTTGCGAGCTATTGCATAGGAGCGGGGGTTTTACTCTTGCGCACCCAAAGGGTAGCGGCTGTGGGTTTCCCTTGTCATAAAAAAAAGTTATGGCCAGAGGTTCTACATGAGACTTTAGTTAATTGAACGGAGAAGAGCTAGGAATGGGGAGGAATTGTAGCTAGTCGGATTCAGGATTTTCACTAAGGGGTTTGAAAAATAAAAATATAATGATATTTGACCTTGGAACCTCAAAATGAATTTTGAACTCCTAAATCACTAAGTCAACCTCTAGTCTTGTGTTTAGGGAATTCAAAATCTCTACGTCCATAACAAACTTACACATACATAACAATAAAAGCATAATCCGAAACCAAATGGTAATACTTTAGTTTTCGTCTTTGAATGTAATCGACATACCTTTCAAATGTTCAGTCAACGGCAAGTTTTCGGATCATGATTACCGTTTCCGCAGGGTGATGGACCAGGAACCGATACACTGAAGTGGCAGGAGCTATTTAGAGCTTCTCACAGCAATTAACTGCAGTTCAACTATATTTCTTATACAGATTATCAGATGAAGCTCTCGATTTATCGATACATATACACTGAACTGTAAGTCACTAAAACAATTCTATATGCAACAATTTGTTTGATGAGTTAGTATGTCAATATAGATAGTAACCTACATGCCGTTAGTGATGTAGAGAAAGCGTGTATATTTCTTCGCCCATCCACTCTTTGTTAGTATATAAGCATTTTTCTCTAGCAATTTCTAATGAATTTCAGATTCCGTCAGTTTTTATGATGTTCTAGATTTCTAGTTTTGATAGTTACATGACCTATTGTTGCAGTAACCTCTGTCTTATTGTATGTTAAACTTTGCTTACGTTACAGATACTATAAGTTTCCGAGTCCTCCCCAAGCTTTAAAAGTGAAGGATGAAGTCCTCATCCGGGAAGTGTTACATTAACTACCTAGACACCAAGAGATGAACTTCATTGTAGCGTTTTTTTCAACGTAAGGTCGTATCCAAAACCTCTAACCTGACTAATTTGGATTCAACATAGGCAAGTCCATTAAGGGGATTAAGTGTTCCTTACCAAAGAGGTACTTCGTTCTCGGGGTTTGAATCTAAGTGAAAGGATCCCAACCATCTCACCACATCCTTTGATGGTAACTTTGTAGTAGTCAAGTAAATCCGTTGAATTACCTCACGGATTCTAATCGGATTTGTGTGAGAGAACATTGTTCAATTATCTTAACGGGCCTTTCTTCCATCAAAAGGGTTGATAAGGTACCCTTAGCGAGCTGCAATTTATCCAGGTAGAATACTTGGTGGCGTAAAGAATGATGAGTACTGCATCTGAGCTAGCCTAGTTTCCATAAACATGAATGTGAAAATCTTCACGGGTGTGTTTAGTAACTAGTCTTGTATTTTTCTATGTATGATAGTACTTTTGTTTGCTTCATTCGTTTTGTATCTTGGTATTTGGTTGTTCTTGCAATCCTGCTTCGATAACATTCTTTCTGAGTCGAGGGTTTATCAAAAACACTTTCTACCCCACAAAGTAAGGGCATGGTCTACGTACATTTCATTTTCATGCATCTTCACATTTTTGTACTCCAATTGTTCCTTCCATATAATCCATATACATAAAACGGAAAATTAAAGAAGGTACAATTGAAAATGGGAGAAACTAACTATTTACGATATTGTACTGTGATTGGCTTGAATAGGAGCGATATAGACAATGAAGATTCGTATATTCTACCCCAACTTATTTGGTATCGAGGCTACATTGTTTGTTATTACCTTTGTGGACACGTATTTACCATGCAAACAGACATGTTGCAGCTATGTGTATTTTCTGTAATGTGAAATTTTGATCTTTATACAAACGTCGAGTTTTCTAATATTAAAACCACTGCCTGAACTCAATGGTGATCTTTTTCTCGACAGGTGAGAGTATTTGTAAGTAGTAGATAGAGTACAGTAAGAACGTACCTACAGCCAAAAGATCGATGATCCTTGTTGCTGCTGCTATCTGGTTCAATCATGTAAAAAAGTATAAAACGATGTACGTATTTTGTATGTTAGATAACTTGTATATATGTTTTTGTGAAAGTTTATGAAATCTCTCAGATAAATGTGTTGTATGTATATACCAAAAGAAAAAACAGAAGTGTCTGCATTTTTACCTCTTTTGTAACATTTGGACTACTTCAGATGACTTGTCTGATCAACCCCTCTTATCGTTTCGTCTAACCTGTCAACATTCATGAGTCGTTAGGTCAAACATTGCTCGGAGACAGGGTCAAGAAGTACTATGAATAGCTGTCCCCGCGTTTCTTTCTATCAGTCTCACCCAACGAGATACGATTCATCCAAAGAGAAAACAAAGTATGGCTCATTAAAGCAAGAACCCTAGCCAAAGAGCAAGACAATTCAATTAAGGTAAGGAAAAAGCTCTTACCCACTAAATTAAGAGTCCGATATGAAGCATTGGCATCACTGGTAAAGTTGTTGTCATGTGAAGTCACGGGTTTGAGTTGCGGAAAAAACCTCATGCAGAAATGTAAGGTAAGATTGCGTACAATAGGGGAGCATTGGTGTAACTTGTAAAGTCGCCTCCATGTGACCTGAAGAGAATTCTACAGCGGAAATAATCTCTTACGAAAATGCAAGGTAAGATTATGTACAATAGAACCTTATGATCCAACCCTTCGTAGTGCATTGAACTACTCTTTTTCCATAACCAAAAGAGATAATGGTATAATATGGGATCAGAAAAAGTTATATTAAAGTTTATCGATACATAAATCGCATAGTAAATTACATGTTATTCCTACTTTTTTTTTCCGGATTACAATAATTCCTTAAAATTTGTACCTTCCAAATACATTAAAGAATATCTCAGATACATTATAACATATATCGAATACATAATATGTAGCTCGGATACATTAAAAACTAGCTCGAATACATTATAAAATAAACTGAATACATAATATATAGCTCAAATACATTAAATACCGACTCGAATACATTAATATATAACTCGGATACATAAATACATTAGAAGAGAAATAAGAGATTATAGAGGTTCTTAGAAATAGAAGGAGCTATTGAAAAGACGGAAAACACAAGACGTGTATTTCAGTAATTTTTTCTTAATAATATGGTAATTGCCACTATCAATGCCTACAGTGGTAATAAAAAAAGTAATTAGGGGATGTGATGAACTATTTACATTGACTGAGATTGAATAAACAAGAATAAAGAGAACATGTGAAAGTTACAACAGATTACATTCGGTATCCGAAACAGTCTCTCTACCTTCACAAGGTAGGGTACGGTCCGCGAGACTGCTACTCTACGTACACAACACTCTCCCCAGACCCCACTTTCGTTATTGATTCAACACTATCACCTATGAATTCTTCTCCTGCATCAAACTGTCAAAAGATTGACATTGACAGAGACGGTTACGACTACTACAATAAACTAAAACAACAGCAGCTACTACTACTCAATCCCAAACGAGTTGGGATCGGCTAATTAACAGAGACGAGGTAGATATTACATCAGACAATCTCAACTCTATCGCCTATGAATTCTCCTCTTGCATTCCATGGTCGATTTTCGAATGATTTGCCAATCATACTGCGCTTTTCGTTTACTTTACCATCTTCACATCTGTACTCTGGAAAGTAATCAAGAAATGTTTTGTTCCCAAGTTCATTAACACCATTGAATAGAAATTTCGTAATGACATCCTGAGTGGTTTCAAAAAAGGGAGAAGATGAATTATTAAAGCTTCCAATAACGGAGAATGTTAGTAGCTCAGTTGATCTGAACTTTCACCTTGTTGGTGACGGTTCGACTACCCCGATGTAATAATTAAATAAAAACTTCCAATGACAAGGCATAGCAAAATTTTTAGATGAAAGAATGATACCTTGGCAAGATCTTCCCCTATCAGTCTTTTCAAAACTCCATGTCCTGGATCCTAGTATAACAGCATTTCGTATCATCGGAGAGATCAAGAAGCATAATCGCAAAGAGGGGAAGACAAACAGAAACCGAAGCACACAAATGAGAAAAATGGGATATTAGTATGCGGTAAGTCAGTATCAGAACTCTACGCAATTAGCTAATCACTATTGTTAAGACTGATGTAAGAGAACCCATGAAAGAACAACTATACCAACCTTTTCTGATCTCCATGTCAAATATCTATGCTGAGCTTCGCAATTGCAAGCGATTTGAGAAGCGTCCGTCTCCCCTTCTGATCTGTCCATTAGCCCAAGCCATGCCTGTACCAGAAACAATGAAGTAGTAATCCTGGTAAATAGACCAGATTTCTCAAACTTACACACTTATGCATAAGAACTTTCAATAAAAAGAAGCCATTTACAAAAATATAGTGGCCTAGACTAAGATATACAAGAGTCAAATTAGTTCTACTCTTGCTCTTTCACTTATCTGCCTACCATCCAATAGCCTATTGTTAAATTGAGTGACCACATCATCAAACGGCTTAAATTATTATCCATATAGTCTAGTAGTTTTTTAATATGACGAGCTCCCTATTGTTGATAGAAAGCTTACTGCCCCTCCCTTAAAAGATGCAACTATTGTCATGGAAAAATAGTTTATTTTCTCTCAAAGAAGCATGCTTAACATAACCTATAGCATAAAGGCATTCACGCCGGATCCAAACTAATGTTGTCTGTGGCCCGGTGCTACAATGCACAAAAGCCCTTCATCCCACCAAAAAGTAAAGAATCCATGGTGCCTGCTTGTAACACGTAGGACTTTTTTTTCATGATTACTATGAAATAGATGGCTGACTGAATTCATCGGGAAATGGACACACAGGGAGGGTAAACTTTTGTTATTTAATTATACCTCACGCCTCTCACATGAACGCCTAATTCATTTTCATGGGTCAAGCATGCGGAAATTCTTTTTGATAATAGATGGCAATGAGACTAGGAACACAAGACTTCTACCTGCCCTGTGTGACGTTAAGTTATGCAAGTACCTCATTTAAAAGCTTGAACTGTTAGAGAGGATACTAGTATATTTACTCAATTATATCTTCAATACATATATTAAGAACTCCACACTCATTAGGATAGATAAGGTAAGGCCTAACTCCCCTAGCTTGTACTTGTCCCTGTTCAGGATTTTTAATTTTTAATAAAAGGTCGCTAGACACTCCGTGTAGTGGGAAAAATTCGGGGGAAAGAAAAAAGAACTAGACACCAAGATAGGCTGAGCAATTGTAGTCTACTAATAAGTGCCACAACATAAAAGTGAGTACGACGGGAAATAGTTTATTGGTACCTGGTAATAATCCTTGAAAGCAGAAAACAAAACTGAATGGTTGTGTGGACTAGATGAGAATCTTGTCCATATGACTATTGGTGAAAAAAATCTCAGAGATTCGCTGGTGAGCTTCCCTCCCCAGGGTAAAAGCTGCATGAAATCTGTGTAACGTAAGTGTATAATCATTTTAGAGAGGGTTCTGAAAAGTGCTTGAAACGTCAGAAGATTATTATAACCTTAGAATACTTGAGGCCTAGAGTAATCAAGTCTTTATAGTACTTCTCCTTGTAATCTTCTTGATCCATGATGTCGTGCAATGGGTTGAGGTCCCTGCATATGTTATATAAGGATTCCCGTATCAGTTGTCTATGACATTGATAACAGTTACGATTAAAAAAAACAGAGAGATTATCAAGGACAACTCTAAGCATTGATTATTTCCACAATGTGAAGAACTATTTCCTTTCATTTATTCGCTTTTCGTTGTTCCTGAATACGTGTTATTACCTCATTCCTTCTCAGAAATATAAAGTCAGTTCATCATAGTTTAGCAAATGCATCTAAGCTCACAAGCAAATGCTGCAATAAAATAATATTTGGTAGTCTTGATTATCAGCATAAAGTTACATAATCGAAAAGAAAGCCATATAATCCAGCAGTCGTAAAGATCAAGTCAAGATACCACATTATTGCTTACAAAAAACTTATAGGCTGGTAGTAGTAAAAACATGTGGACGTGAACATATAGGCAAGATGAAGCGATAGGGCAAAATAGTTGTCGAGATGCAGGACAAAGACGTCTCTGTCCCAACATGATGAAAGCAGGGAAACATAGTCTGATACTTCTCCATTTACCCCAGGAGAATGTAAGACAGGATTCTGATTGCATAAACCACTCTCCCGAATAGTTTATGAACTCTTTGACGGATAAAAAGTCAAAATGGAATCAGGAAAAGTATGAAATGAGTAAAACAATAGCTTACGTACAGTACAATTATGTTCATCTTAGCAGTAGTGAAAAAGTTGGCACAGAAGATAGGCAGATCAAATTCCGGTTTCGGGAATGCAGCAAAATCCAATACCTGCATGAAATGCCCTTCATTTAGTTCAAGGAGAAAATGGCAGATTCGTTTATGATAATAAAACTAATATATCTGCATATACAACAATGAACTCACATTCCTTGCACAATTCTCATTGCGCATTGACGTGGGGGAATCAGTAGAAATGGAACCAGACAAAAAGAGTTCCTCAATCAAAATTTTGAAGCTGCTAAAGAACAATTCTTCACCTTAGAAAACCTTCTACTTATACCAATCAAATGCACCAAACGAAGTATTCGGATATTATATATGAGAATTTGTTTTCCCTTTCCATACAACATTGAATCTCCACCAGCAAAACCTTTAAACAATAAATATATAACAGTTCTCTTTTTCTAAGTAAGTGAATGTAAATGACAGATTCTTTGTACGCTGTTCATCATATTGCAAATTAAAATGTATGATCTAACAATATTCTTTTGCACATCTAATATTAACAGATAAAAGAAGATCTTCCTTAGCAAGTATTTTGGTTCTAGATGGGATTTGACAGCCCAACTTTCTCTCTTTTACCAGATTGCACCGGCAATGATGTTTAGCAACTCTACCTACCTCATTTTTTCTATCAAAGTAAATGACAGTTTTTCTTTTTCTAAATAATTGTACTGTAAGCTATTCTTTTACTTATTTAACAGATAAAAGAAGCTCTTCCTTAGCAAGTATTTTGGTTCTTAATGGGATTTGACAGCCCAACTTTTCTCTCTTTTATCAGATTGTACCGGCAATGGTGTCTAGCAACTCTACATACCTCATTTTTTCTATCAAAGTAAAGTATTACCTTGATACCACATTTGAGCATTCCCCTTCCTATACTTCTATTATTTCTAAATGTGCCCTTATTTCTTAATGATTGACATAAGATATATCAATCAATCAACTATAAGGGAAGAATCAGTTTAATGTCACCATTCTCGGGGAAAAAAAAGGGAAGAGCCAATTTTTTCAGGGCAGAAAATACACCATTATTCCAATAAGTAGAAGATGGTTCTCTGCTCCCACTAATAAGTCCAGTACTAAGTTCACTTAGGCATTTGGCAGTGTCTTACTCCGATTTCTTAAGATTGTTTCTCTATTCCACCAAATCTTTGTTAAAAGGATTATAGGATTTAATTTACTGTCTGCTATAACTATTGATAGTCAAGTGAATTACGTAAACGTTTTGAAAAATCAACAAACATCCAACTCATGTCCCCTCCGCCTCATGTCTGCTTTATCAAAGACAAGAGAAGCAAGAGCCTCAACATGTCAGACTAGAGACTGAAAATCCTAGCAATCTGAGGAATGGAGATATCCCTCAAACTTGAATTTGATTTGGCTAGAAAATATATTTGTATACTAAATTTAAGAAAATAACCATAATTGCACTCTAAAGTTTTTTTTGTTCTGAAACCAAAGACTAGCTATGACATGAACTTGAATATAATTGGACCTGCATGCCGTCGCTCCCTTCAATACATAGACTGCGAAGGAGTCGAATTTTATGGGCTTCAAAAGAAAGCATCTGTAGCTCCGTTTTGTCATCCATGGACAACAAAGAACTGTATTTCTCCTGTAGAGAGGGAAAAGGGTAACCACAGTTGGCCAGCATTAGTTCCGTATAAACCGTTTTATGGGGGGCGAGAATAGCTCTGTAGAAAACCTCAACAATAGCAAATGCACAACTTAAATCCTTGTAAGGAGTTAAAGTGAAAAGGAGAATTTCAAAGACAACTTAATGACCTGGAGATATCATGAAACTTATCATCTTTACAGCCTTAAACCGAAAAAAAAGAAATAAGCAGAAAGTTGGCACGCAAAATCATGCATTTCTAAGCAAGGAGAACTTGAAAACAACAACAATTACATGTAGCTGGTTAAGTGTTGAAATGCACATTTACCCTCAGATATTGCTAAGAATGTACAACGAGAAAAACAAGACGAGTAAAATGAGCAATCACAAAGAGAAAAAAGGTAACAGAATCCTGATGGTGTAGTCCTATACTCCTATTCAAGAAGCACAATTAACTATTTGCTACACAAATACCAACTTCCAACTGTTTTTTTTTTCTTTTGAGTTCATTTACACTTTATGCACTTGTTTACCATCATTAACATATTTGCAACTCACTGAATCACCTTAAATGAGTGAATATAGCACTTCATTTTACTTTCTTCTCTAAAAGATAATATTACATATTTTAACTGCCAACCCCCTTCACTGTTTGTGCTCACTTGATATTCCACCTCCCAGAACCCCTTGATTCCCTTCTCAAGTTCAACTACTTTGGTATACCTCATCTTTTATTTAATTTTCTTAATCCTTCTTGTTTTCATTCAACTAAACATTGTCAGAAGCTCTTAGGTTGGACTAAATGAGAAAAATCTCCACAAGGTTTTACATTCTTTACCAGAAGCGAACTAAAATTTTCTTAAGAATTCAAGTTATTCAACACTTCTGATCTAATAAAAATTAATCTAATTCTCTTCCTTGAGAATTCCTGTTTCAAACTAGCTGTTTGCTTCAACAATACAGCCCCAATCGTCCCAATTTATCGTCCCAATTCACCTTGCTTCGAAAACTTTAATATATCAAGTAGTAAAAAACTAACAAATGGAAGTATAAAACCACCTGGTGTGGTATTTCATCAATCTCATAAATTGTTAGGTAAAATCTGTAAAAATATGGCACTTGGACCTAACTCAACCCCAAAGCTATCTCGTGAGGGGAGAATTTTCCAAGTCCATCAGTCTATTCCTCAACTAATATGGGACTATAATCCACTCTAACACCCCCTTCACGTCCAGGCCTACTGGAACGTGGATCGGGAGCCCAAATAGTGAAGGACGTGGCTTTGATACAATGTAAAGATATGAAATTTGGACCTAACTCAACTCCAAAAGCTAGCTCGTTAGGGAGGATTGCCCAAATCCATATAAGCAAACTACCAGTCCATTCCCTAATCAATGTGAACCCGCTTCAACAAAACCCTCTGGAGTCCTTACTGTTACCAGCCCATTTCCTCTTCTAACCACAAAGCTGAATTCTTTGAACTGTACATTTAATTGTACATGTTCCAAAGTATTCAACGAGTTTCATCACGCATGGAGCAACAATCCCAGTCACTACCTATTTTCTTTACTGTTATATTCCCTTTTTCGTAAATACTATAATTTGTTGAACTTGAGTCGAGGGTCTTTCAAAAACATTTTTCTACCTACACAATGTAGGGGTAAGGTATGCCAACACTCTACCCTCCCCCTCCCCAGAACCACTTGTGAGATTACACGGGATATATGTTGTTGTTGCTGTTTTCTATGAGGGAAGCTGACCAACCTAAAAATGCTAATCTTTTTAACTCAAGTTTTGCTCCTTCTTCAAGAATTTGCTCATACATGTAAGCTAATCTTTTAAACTCAAATTTTTTTCATTCTTCCAGAATTTCCAAAACCAACTTCATACATGTAACAAAGGTGTCTAATTTTTTGTACCAACCTAAAAGATCTAATCTTTTTATCTCAAGACTTAGCTCCTTCTTCAAGAATTTGCAAAACCAACTTCATAAATGTAATAAGGGTGGCTAATTTTTAGTCCAACTTCAAGAATTGCAGAAACAAACAAAGTTCCACACTTCAACACAGCAAAAGAAAAAAAACACTTACACAGCAACTAAATCCCATGCTTAGTACAAACACAATGAGAAATTGTTCAAAACAATGAAAACCCAAAAACTAAATACCTGCAATGGAGAAGGGGACAAAAGGGTATGTGTATTTGTTTCTTCTAAAGCAAAATGAATCAACTTCTTGTAAGAAACACCAGAGCTTTCATTTTCTGTATAGCTCATACTCACACACTTACTCCCAACTTCGTTAAAGCTTCTACATTTTCTACTCAAACTATACTTCTTCTTACTTTTCAGTCCAATAAAAGAAGGGTTAGATATACAAAACCACCCTAGTGAAGAAAAACACTCCATTGAACCAAAAAAAGTTACAATCTTTAAGTGTTTCAAAGCTCCATTTTTTCTTTGTTTTTTTTAAAAAAAAACTCAATTTTCAGCTCAGTTTTCAATGATATTTCTCTTCTTGATGATTTAGTTTTACTATAAAGTATTGAATAAAAATAACATTGCTACTATAAACAGTAGCAAAAAAAAAAATTGATGGTACCTGTATGAGCAAGTGGTGGATTTTGCTTTGAGCAAAGGGACGGTGATTGTGCAAACACATCACCAAACGGCAAGATTATATTTTTGGTACTGTACTTCGATCTTGATTTACGTGACACTATTTAATCGGACATAAAATTTTAAAAAATAAGTAAAAATTTCGTTAGGTTTACCAAATGACTTATATTGACTAGTTAATTTTTCTTCGAGAAAAAAAGACAAATATATCCCTGAATTATCGTAAATAGTATGCAGATATTCTCCGTCATACTTTAGGAACATTGGTGCTCGTGTTATCAAGAGCATATATACCCTTTATACTAACGAATATACGTATGTCATAATCTTATCCACTGATTCGACATCGGATCGATTGATAGAATTGTGTTACGTGTCCCTATAGTCTTTCCATTAGAGTGAAGGGCATATACGCTCTAACTTTTGGACGACCAATGTCCATAAAGTATGATGAAGGATGTTTGCATATTATTTTGCGATAGTTCGGAAGTATATTTGTTATTTTTTTCCATTTTTATTTATAATAAACCAGGTAAATTATTCGCGCTTTGATACGACACAATTTTAAAAAAAAAATTTAAAATTTGTCATTAAAACTAAAACGGTATGTTGTCTTACATACGAGATTACGTAGTAACGAAAAGAAAAATGATAATTATAACATCTGATCATTTATCCTTCAATCAATCATTTATGATTTGATTTTGTAGTTTATCTTTTTTGTCTCTCGGAAGTGTTACTATTTGATATTTTTAAAAAATTAGATGAACATCAAGATGAGATATTAAATTTTATAATAAATAAGTAATCTTTATCCGTATTAACAAATATTTATAACAATAATTTTACAGAAACAACAAAAGTTTAAAATACGTACCTAAAAACAACAATAACTATCATAAGCATAAATTAATAACTAGAAATATATATCAGAATCTATAATAATAAAATGAAACAGAAAAGAAAAGTGAGATTCAATAAAAATTACGCTATTAAATAAACACAAAAATAATAATATATTTTATTCTATATCAACATTAAAATCTAACCAATTTAAATTCACGATATTATCGTAACTAATCATTTATTTGTAATAAATTTATATTTTCATATTATAACATAGGAAAAAAAGTTTAAAATATATTTCAATTTTGATCAAAATTATTGTTATGATACTAAATTTTGAAAAGATTTTTTACCCTCTACACTATTTAATATTTTAAAGGTATACATGCTCACGTGGACATAAAAAATATTACATAATTATAAACAGTAATGTATTCACATGGACACATATGCTTTTAAAATACACTATTAGATAGTTCAGGGATAAAAGGTCTTCCATAAAAATTAATAACGTAATAACAATTTCAATCAAAATTAAAATAAAAATTGATAACGTAATAACAATTTCAATCAAAATTAAAATATTTTTCAAACCATTTCCCTATAACATGACATAAGTCGTTTCATTTACAAGATATAAGTCTATTTCATCATCACGAGTTATGTCGAAAGGATAATTTAGTTCCTATAGAATTTATATCGAACATTTTAATTTTTACAAAAATTATGTCAAATAGTTTCTAAAATTATGGAGCTAAATTAAGTCATAAGTAAAATTATTTTGTCCATAATTGTTCATTAAATAAGAGATAAGAAAAAAGAATAAAAATCATCATTTATAGAAATATAATTAAAGACCACTCTAAATAAAGGATAAAATTAAATTAAATTCACATTACGTTAAAAAAAAAAAATCACCCATGTCACGCAAGATTTATTCAAGCAAAAATCGCCCTACCGCCCTAAAAAAATCAACGATAGTATATATATATATATATATTGCTGAGGCCAAAAACAGTATTTTAATGACAAAACCTAAAGAAAAGTATTTTAATGACAAATATATATATATATATATATATATTATAAATATAAAAATGAAAAAATAGGAGAACTCCATTTATCAAAAGATTTTAACGTGTATTTGGAATTTTGGATAAAATAAAAAAATTTGGATAAATTTTTACTTTTCAGCAAAAAATATCCATATTTCAATTCAAATTTTTTGTTACATTAATAGTTAATAATTTTATCCAAAAGTTACCATGTGACTTTTTATTATAACTTACAACTTAAATGTTCTTTTACTTATTATAACTCATTTTGAATTAAATTATTCACTTTTTTTTTATTTAGCTTTTCCTATTTCCCCTTGATTAGTTAATCGTATCAAGTGTTTAAATCAAATAATTAAATTTAACTTAATTTAGTAATTAAAAGATAAGGTGAAATATCATTTCAATTTAAATTTTAAAATATGTAATGCTGAGTAGCATCAGCTACTTTAGTTATCTTTAACGTCAATATTTTTCTTTCTTCGATATTTTCATCGTATCGTCTTAGTCCTACTTCTCTCTTGATCTATTTTAAGAAATAATTTTCTCGAGATTTTATCAGAAACAACATCGCTACGTATACACTTCACGTTAACCTTAGATATATATCCCTTGGCCTTTATAAAAGTTGCCTTCTCTATTCACTTTAATTATTAGACTTCACATGTTTTCTATGAATAACAAAAAGTTGCTTAAATTTTCTCTTTTATTGTTATCAAATAATATTATATAAACTCAAGAATATAATAAGAAATGTTAAACTTCTTTCAAACAATGGCATTTCTTGCTAAAATTTCACAAATTCCATTTCTAGTTTTATTCATGTTTCTTGTTGTATGCACCACCACAATCCATCATGTCCAAGGCCAAACAGCCATGTGTGTCATCAATTGTGGCCAACAAGCAGTCTCTTGTGTCGTACGTTGTGGCCCGCCGCCTCCGCCGACCGGTTGTTATTCAGGTTGCGTGGCTACTGGTATCGACTGTCTGACCTCCTGTCGTAGGCCACCGGCGACCTCGGACGATGTTATTTAGGGAGTGTATGAGATGCTAGCTTCCTATACTTAAAATTGTCGAAATAAATAAATTGTGATGCATAGTAATATTTCATATTACAATTTGATATTTTAAAATAGTAATTTGATATTGACATTTACCAGCTTTCTTACTTACTTCCTTTCTTTGTACTCTTGCCTATAGCCAAACACAACAAATGATATAAACAGATAAATTAGCACTAGTTAAATAGGTTTGTTCGAGTTGAATTTGAACGAGTTTTTTATATTTTTTAGTACCTAATAAATTAAAATTATTACTATTATCATTATTGTTATTAACAGAAAAGCCTAAAAGTTCCTTCCATTTTCTCTATATTCCATCAAACATAGCTTATATAAACTCTAGAGTTATATAAAAAGTGTATTCTTTAAATAAAAATAAATAAGTAAAATACATAACAAATTAAAATTTTACTAAATATTGAATGTGTTGCTAACGAATTTTAACATTCTGAAAATCTATTTATAAATGATATTAAAGTTATATTTTCTTCCGCTTTTACTCATCTTTATTTGTTCACTTCCACTAACATTATATTCATGTTTGAAAAATTGCCTACCAAAAATTACTGTTTCATAAGATTATAAATTTTGTCATTTGTATGGTGTACATAGACATTACCCCTATTTTAGGGTTATTCCAATCGACAGACCCACGACTCGAGAAAATTGGTTTTACCCCTTTTTCACACCATTTGCTGCTTAGGACTTCTTATCCGTGGTGTTCGGCCATCTTATGCACACACTTCGACAAATAACAAGATAACTCTGTTCGCCAAAGCTTTTATAAGGAGGAAGTGTTGTTACTTGCTCTAATAAACATGTTTTTTTAACCAAGAAATATTCCAAAACAAACTTTCCGATCAAAGATAGCCTTCGAAACTCGGAGATGATGTACCAAAGCTTAGACAGATAGGAAGAAATCCTTTTCATTGGAACAAATCAAACTTAGGGACTTGAAAAAAACAACATCAAGACCACTTGGTTCATAAACCAACTTGTATACATGTAGAAACGCCCTGTATACCTAATGTTCAACCTTGCGAATGCACCAAATATCTTCTCCAATCATTCACACAACTGTATAGATGATAGATCCCCATGTGATCAAGAGTTGAGGATCGAGTTAACGCGAAAATCAAAAGAAAAACAGCAACACAGAAGCATAGGCAAGAATGTGGAATATCGACGAAATTAGTCACATAGAATACAGAACAAAAGAGTTTGACACATCATAGTTTCACAATACCGAATTCAGGAGAAATTACTAGAAGTTGCTAACAACCCAAACTACGAAGACAAGGAACAGGGCAAACAGGATATACGGGAGAGCAGAACTACAGAACCATCGAGACAAAGGTAATAACAGAAAGAACGTGTCCTAATTTGGAATAGAAATCTCACAAACTTATCTGCTCTGTTTCCTTCTCTTTTGTGTTTTTACTTCTAAAGATTATGTTGGATTGATCAGTTCTCACTTGGCCATCATAACCTTGACGAACTCGTCGTAGTTGATCTGCCCATCACCATCCACATCAGCTTCACGAATCATCTCATCAACCTCTTCATCAGTAAGCTTTTCGCCTAGGTTTGTCATCACATGACGAAGCTCAGCTGCGGAGATGAATCCATTCTGATCCTTGTCAAACACTCTGAAAGCTTCCTTGAGCTCCTCCTCAGAATCAGTGTCCTTCATCTTGCGAGCCATCAGGTTAAGGAACTCTGGGAAATCAATGGTCCCATTTCCATCAGCATCAACTTCATTGATCATGTCTTGAAGCTCAGCCTCGGTTGGGTTCTGCCCCAATGACCGCATTACTGTTCCAAGTTCCTTAGTTGTGATACAACCTGCAGCATATATGGAGATAATTATTCAACATTTATGACCATCATTGCTAACTGCTTTTAGAACTTACTTTTTTCCCCATATTTCTCTGTTCTGGAGAAACAAGTTAAACATGAGACTTGAACTGTTTGTTCTCA